TTTATTTGACAGAGAGAGACACAGCGAGAGAGGGAACACAAGCAGGGGGAGTGGGAGAGGGAGAAGCAGGCTCCCCGCAGAGCAGGGAGCCCAATATGGGACTCGATCCCAGGACCCTGGGATCATGACCTGAGCTGAAGGCAGTCGCTTAACCAACTGAGCCACCCAGGCGCCCGGAATGTTTTACTTTAAAAAAAAAATTAAAAAATAATTACACAGGCTTTTTTGTGTGTCTCTTTATATTATCTAGAAAGCAGATTCTTAAAAAAATATTTTTTTTTTCAACTTGGCATTTGCAGAATATACAACAGGATTATACCACAGTGCTTTCCTGTTTAATTCAAACCTTTCCAGATCAACCAGAATTTAAAGACTTGGTACAGCTTACTGATTGCCATGATCCAGAAATGGACTTCTTTGAGAATATGAAGCACATTCAGGTAGAAGACACATCTGTGTTGTTGTTGTTGTTGTTTTTCTGCCTATAAAACAAGGATTTCAAACTGTTCTATCTCATTTAAAAAGATATATTAATTTTCCAAAATGTTTTGAGCCTCTCATTCCTTGGTCTTCATGATCATCAGTCAAATTAGCACAGGAAATGATCGTTTTCCTGGGGTCTTTTCATGGTATCATAAACCACAATAATAGTGTCACACTTCTCTGCCTTTTCCTAAGAAGTACATAAATGTTTTAGGATCCATTGTTAAACAAATGCTATGGATTATAGCTCTGGAAACAAATCAAGGCACAGGTGTTTGTTCATGTAACACATGGACTGTATTTCATTCCTTTAATCTTTTCATGGAAAAGGAACATGATACTGAAATGGAGCTGGTTGTAGGTGAGTGTATTCAGTAACTAATTCTTATTTTATCTAACTCATAGATCCACAGAAGAGCAAGAGCCTTGAAGAAACTGGCAAAACAACTAATGGAAGGCAAAGTTGTGCTCTCTTCTAAAGCTCTTCAGAATTACATCATGCCTTATGCCATGACTCCAATTTTTGATGAGAAAATGCTCAAGGTAGGACATTAGATCTCGAAACCATTAAATCTCTACCCATGCCATGACACTTTTCCAAAGTGCCTGTGGGGTTGGTAACATCCATATTGATGTTGTCACAATAATTAGAGACTTAAAATAGTTCTCATGCCCTTAGAATGGTACTTGGCGCATAGTAAATGCTCTATAAATGGTAGCTGTAATTTTTATTTTCACTATTATTAGCCCGCAAAGGCCAACCACAAAATATTTCCCCTCTTAGAAATAAATGATCACATTACTAACATACGTATACTTTTACTTAATTCTGGTAAATGCCATTAATCAGCAGAATCATTGTTTTCCCAAATGGCTCATAATAGCTACCTTTTCATTAGCACTGTACCAGATACAGGAACTATTCTAAGTACTTTATATAATCTTACTTCATCATCACCACAGCTTAACCCTATAGGGACTGTTGTCACTATTTTACAGGAAAGTAAACTGGGAATAAGTGAGGTATTTAACTTTCTTAGAGACATACAGAATGAGAATCAGTATTTGAACTTAGGACTGTCTTCACTATTATACTACATAGTGCCAAAAACAGTGCCTGGCACATTGTAAGGCCTTGATAGATTATTGTTTAGAATAATGAAAGACAGTACCCAGAAATTTAAGGCTAATTGAGGTGATATCAGGAGTTGTGACTTGAATTTATGCTGTGTTGATCACATGGTGTTGTGCAAAGTTAGGTTTCCCCTATTGTTTCAAAATTTTTTGAAGAATTACCTAAGTAAATAAAAGAATACTCCCCAAAATTCCAGTTTAAAGAGTCAGTAAGCACAACCAACTTATACTTTGATGGCAGTAAAATAGGAAAGAGGTATAGATGGAAAAAATAAGTTATATTTAATTTTGGTTGATGTTAATATGGTATATCCTTTTAGTTTTATTTTTAACCATATTGTGACTTTATATTTACAGTTGGTTTCTGGTAGATAGCATATAACTGGATCTTGGCGGTTTTATCAAATCTGACAATCTCTGCCTTTTAATTGGTTTTAGGCCATTTACATTTAATATCATTATTAATATGTTAGGTTTAAATTGTTGATGTTGTTATTTATTTTCCATTTGTCCCTCTTTTTTCTTTCCTTGTATTGGATTACTTGGATTTTTTAAATGATTTTATTTTGTCTGTTGGCTTACTAGTTATCATGGAGATTTTTTTGTTTTTTTTTTTGTAGATTTTACCTCTGTATCAGTTTTAAACCACACCATACATTGTTGTTATTTTTGCTTTAAACAGTCAATTATTGGGGCACCTAGGAAGCTCAGTCAGTTAAGCGTCTGCCTTCAGCTCAGGTCATGATCCCAGGGTCCTGGGATTGAGTCCCACATCTCCCTCCTTGCTCAGTGGGGAGCCTGCCTCTCCCTCTGCCCTTCCCCCTGCTTGTGCTTTCTCTCTCTTTCTATATCTCAAATAAATAAATAAAAATCTTAAAAAAAAAATAAACAATTATCTTTTAAAGAAATCTTCCAGGGGCGCCTGGGTGGCTCAGTTGGTTAAGCG